GATAAATTTTGCATTCGTGTTGCGTTAATCGATATGAAAGTAGAAGACAAGGTTTGAGCATTACACAAGTATGTAGTTTATTTCCTACATATCATTCTATTTCTAACTGTCACCTTCGAACTACCGGTACAAATCGAACGAATTTCCACTATTCAAACTCAATATTTACTATATCCCTTCAGATTTTTTGTTTATTTCGGTTAATCGAATGGAAATAGATCATAAAATCATCCTCGAGACTCAATTTGAATGCCTTAAATTCCTGGAGTCTATGAGTTGGAAACGATTCTTAAGAAGTACTCACATCCAATAAGTGTCTACCTCTGTCACTTTTGACTTGAACTAGATAATTTGCCCCGATACGATTGAAATAACTCTCTCCTGATGAAAAATTCACACACCAAACCTAGTTCTAAGTGTTATATGTCAAAAATCTTATTTCAAGATTTCAGAGGTATTAACCGCATAAATACGATTTTTCGTATTTATTATTTTTTTTATTTCCACGCACTTTTAATTGTTTCATATTGCAATTATTGTCAATAAATTATTCAATGCAGGAATGATTGAATCGTTCGAATGATTGGAATGACGCAATGGAAAATATGTGAAATAGACATACGACATCGGACATTCTAGTTTACATGGGAAACATGGACAAACGAAAATAGAGTCGTCGCTTGGAGTCTGTCGGTTGAAAAGCCAAAGCACACGTATTTATAATTCCCGAATGTGGAATGGGTTCGTTCACTTGAATATTCGTACTTCAATATCCAAGCGAAGGTGTGAAATTTGTTGGAAATTTTCACGAGGGCGCAGAATCAGGGGAAAAGTCTGCATTGCAGTATTGCAGCGCAGGAAGAATGTTGCACCTCTTTTTGGCTTGCAACATATTTTATTCCCAGCTCACCTTCACTTCTCGGGTGCTTTCACCCACACGCTGCCTTCGACAAGACTATTTTCCGATTGATATTCAATTTCCGAAGTGACTTGACAGGCGCATTCCATTAGACTTGATTGTCAAGAAAAATTCCGCACGATTTACTCAGTTTTATAAATGACATAAGACTCTTCCCTCGACGGGGTCTTATATTGCATTCCAATCGCGAGGGGTAAGAGGGCGGGAAGTGGTTTTGATTGGATTTTTTTCCACCTTATTTAGCGAAATTCCAGGTTTATTCATTCGCACGCATTCGTGAATTTTCAGTGGGAGAATCGAGGGGAATGGCCTTTTGTCAGAATTTTTTGTATTGTTTTTTTATTCTGTTCCCGATTGCCTCCTGCAACGTGATGAATCAAGAGTAATGAGTATTCATTGAAATTATACTAAAGGTCAAGGACCAATTCTTATTTCAATGCGGGATTCCATCACGGAAATCGAGCGACTGATGAATTTTTATTCTCGTAAAAAATGTCAGAGATTTTCAATTTTCCGCGTTTCACAAGTGTGCAAATATTTCATGAAATCCCTATTTGGATTTGTCCCGTTTTCCGAACCTCAATTCCTAACTCGAGTGGAAAATGAGCTTAGGTCTGAATCAAGTTTGAATCAAGTCATACTTGATGTTGGGTCAGGTACTGATCCTACAACTTGATCAAGCATGTAACGCCTTGACTCAATCCGGATTTGATCAGGCGTGCCGAATATTCATAATTATATTATAATATTTATAATATTTATCAAACATAATGAATTAAAAATAAAAATTAATCATTTTTTCAGATCATATTACCCCTATCAATGGATACCTACTATCATTAATGCTGAAAAACCCTAATTATTTTTATTACACGAGACTATCGCGTTATTATTATTATTGAGTGAACTTTTTTGCTTATACAATGTATATTGGGATGCTGGTTCACTTTAAGGAACGAAAATTTACTCAATTAAAAGTTCACCTATTATAGTTTTAATAATAATAATAATAGTAATAATAAGTTAATAATTAAATTATTTAGTTCAAGCTCATCTGATTCGAACTTGATCTGAATAACTACTGGGCGGGACAACTTCAGGTCAGGTTGATCTGATCAGAATCTGATTCGACTAGTTGCAGGTGGCTGGATCACACTTTAAGTTCAGGCCCACCTGATCCGAACTTGATCAGAATGATCATAGATGAGCGAACCACAAGTTCAAATCAAGCTCACCATGTCAGAACCTGATGAGAATAGTACGGATCAGGTTGGGTAAATCAAAGACTGATCAGTTTTTTATCAAGTACTGCCTGATCAGTTGACACTGACCATCGCCATATCAAGCTCTGATCAAACCTCAGGCTCGCCTGACATAATTTCCACTCAGAAAAACGTGGCACTCGAATGTGGATGTTCAAGTGGCATCGTTTGACCAATAATTGGGTTCACTTTACAATATTCTTCTGTACACAAATTACAAGTCTAAAAATACACCCCAATACGCGTTTATTATCCTTTTTTCCTTATTTTTCAGTGCATAAATAATTATTTAATAGCAATGCACCTGCAATGCGCGTTGCCGATCGATTCGTAACTGATCGCTTGTTAAGTGTCATACATGGCTAAACCTCGGGTTCTCGTACCACCTTGATTTATGCACGACGATAACGAACGTTATATGCATCTAGCCAACTGTACACTCTCTTTAATATCCAGCAAATGTATTTGAATGGTACGTGTGCCTTGTAAAGCCAAACAGGCGTCCCGATCTTTGCGGAAAAGCCCATGGTGGAATGACCGACGATGTACACGGTGGAAGTTAAAAGGGGTCGAGGGGGAAAATAGCCTAACGTGAAAATATTGTTTTGCATTTGTACAGGAGGCTGTAGGCGACCCCTATGACTTTACCAACTCACTTTGTACATATCTTATTTTATACCTCCTACCGGGATTACCCGCGAAATTCACGTTCAAGGAGACTTTTTCTTTCCTTAATACCATTTATTTCCCCCTGAATACATTTTGCGCCTTTCCTTTCTAATTCAATTATTGAAAATATACCGCTAAATCCATTTGTTTATTTTAGGACTTACAGGAAAATCCGTGAATATTTGTAGCGATAACATCTATATAATTAATTCATTGCATTGAGACGAACCGAATTGTTGAATTGTGTGGATGCGAAATTATATCGATTTTCCTCCAAAATATTCAACAGCGAAATCCCATTTCATTTTTATAGTGTGAATGTTCTCTGATACTTTCAACAAGTTCAAACTGCAGAAGAATTATCCTAATTGCCTTAATATTTATTTGACAATAGCATTCACTCATCAGCAAGTCACAACTTTCCTGAATCCTGTGTCCATCTCAATCCAATAATTCAGACATTGACAAAAATCGATTTGTTGACTCTAGGATTGGAGTGAAATTTTCTAGAATTTTCTGAACACTATCCTCGAAGCAAGTGCTAAAGAGATCGATGATTTTGGAACATGGCAGTTCCATTAAAATCTACTGCAAACGTCTTGACTCAATTCCTCTAATTTTCGGTGTATTCAGAAGATATTGACATCCGGGAATAAATCCCTTAAAAGCCTCCGCGAATGATCCATCACATCCATAAATTCCTCCCCCAATTTAAATCCTTTTATTCCCAAATTTTCAGGCTTCATTTATTTTTTTCTCCCGTACGACGAATGTGCGAGAAAAAAAAGATGGAAGATTGCATGGGAGACGATGAAAAGAGTCTCTCGAAATGTATCATGGTATGCAGCTATGCAGTCGGGCATGTTATGTGATTATTTCGTGGCGGCACAAGGCCACCCCACATGGGTGACAGGAATATCCTGCCCTCTCTCTTCCACCCACTGTCTCCCCCAACTCGTTTGTCCATCCTTCGTGATCCTTGAGAAAGAGGACTACCATTTAAACCCGAAACAAAAGCTAAAAAAGCAGCAAATGCTGGGAATGACAAAAAAATCGAGGGGAAAAAATGAAAACTACGAGGGCACAGAGCCGAAAAAAAAAAAATGTCGCGCAGAGGGACGTCAGGCCGATTTGCTTTACGGCTTGACCCCGTTGAATTATGACATTTCCACGATATGATTTACGGTGACTCCATTTCACATTCCATTATGAAGCTCTGAGTAAACAGAAAACCGGACCCCAAAAAATCTCCCCGAGCAAAAGAATTAAAAAACCATTAAGCCTCTCTAAAATTTTTTACGTCTCTGTTCGTCCTCGTCGACCGAACAACAAATTAAACGGTGATATCTCTACAGAGGTGTTTGCCCAGTCCCATGAATTATAACCAACGAGAGTGATAATTTTCCTCCCTGCAGCTCTTTGATTTCCATTGGAAAACGCTGAATAACACGAAACCAGAAATGAAGAATTGAAATAACATCCAATACATTCATTGCTATTCCTGAGAGTTTACAGGCATCGCAATATTCTCCCCTTGGAGAACGAACGTTATCACCAGTGATCGTGCCAAGTGAACGAGATCACGAGTGAGATATCAAATCCACCTCTCAAATCATTGCCATTCCCGTTAATGAAAATATATAAAATTCCAATCCTCTAATTTTTTAAACTTCAAATTACAATTATTTACTGCTCGATGGGCAGAATCGAGTGAACTACCCACGACTACTCGAGCGAATCGATTAACTATCTATAACAAGCGATGATACCCCATGTAAAGCCCACAAAAGTGAACTATTCTTTCACCACTCATCGTACATGTTTTTTTTACGCGAGTCCACGTCGATGATATGCGAAAATAAATTCGTAGGCCGTTCTATACCAGCCTGGCAAAAAGCGCTCCGAATTCTTAAGCATCGCAGAAGAAAGTGGAGGGGCTACCAAGCGAATCACCAATTTTCATGTGTTTACGTTCAATGGATCACAACTACCGGCTTTTTATAAAACCATTCGAAACGACGAGATCGCTCAGTCCCCTTGAAACAAGGACTCAAGAAAAACGTAAATATTGTCATCAACATCCATTGAAGAATGTCTCCACTCTCTTCCCATTCACCCAACTGGCATTTAAATAATCAAGAGTTACTCACCAGCTCTGGAATCAATCTCCAAATGATTACAGTAACTCACTCATGTTGAACAAGTTGTAACTGGTAATTGTTATCATTGACACTTGAGAGTACAAATTTGACAACACAATGCACTAATGAAGGAATGAGGGTGAATGGAAAAACTGAAAAGGGAAAAAGGGGGAAAAGGTGAGAGGGTCGCACTGCGGGTGTGTGGTGAATCGAGGGAAAACACGGGTGAATTGGTTGGAGAACGACGAGCGTGAGGTGAGTTTCGATCGATGTCTGTGCGCAGACTGGCCGTTCCAGCTCCTCCGGGGCTCTCCTTTTCGCCGTCTGCGTCTCTTCACTCGTTAATGTCCGTACTACACCGGCCCGCTCTCGCCTTCTACTCGATCTCCAACACTCCAAAAAATCACTCTTTATTTAATCACTCACTTATTTATTCACTTCTTTTATCCACTTATTTTTTATCCTTTTTGTTTTACACATTCACTACTGACATTTTTTTTTTATTTTACTCGCTTCAGTCATTATTTCGACCAGCTCTCGCTTTCTCAATCCCCAACACTCCGAAAAATCATATAATCATACATCACAAAATATTACATACGCGAGCGATTTTCTTTTTTCATTTAAGAGATGAGAAGAAACATTTGAATTTGATATTTTTTTTATTTTTATGCTCATCGTGAGAATTCAACATGAGATACTGTGAACTGAAAATTCAGGAAAATTATTGCGTGAATTTTCAACACCTTGAGGGTTTTTCAGGGTCATGTGAGAATTGAAAATTACCTGTTACATAATGGCGACTCATTTTATAAATGAAGAAGGGGAAATGATTTTTCCTGGTACCTAGCTGGTGCCTCGACGTCGGAACATCCCTTCAAAAGGTGAAAAATAAAAAATCCCGCGGCTTGGGAACCTTACGAACACCTGTCCGGGTGCCTTCATCTTTTGGCGCCAACATTTGACCAGCAATGCCCGAGCTATCGATTTATATCGGAACGAATCGCTCCCGACGTCTATTCTCATGTGAATCGGAGAATTTAATCACCATTAATTCCATCGAGCGGAATTAATTGAAAAGAGAGACAAGAAGATGAGGGAAAAAATCATAAAATTTGGGATGAGGATCTCCTAAGAATTTCTAACCGCCGCAGAGACTAATCAAAAGACATTACCGCTCCATTCGTTCCCCTCGTTTACGAGTTTTTTTTTTCCATGAATTTCTATTTCTCCCTATGTAAAAACATGAAGATTGAAATTACAGTGAGCACAAAAAAACGTAATATTCTCCCCCAGTTGAGAGTGTTACTGTTGTCCATTTAGAAATATCTCATTTGGTTGGGAATGGAATTGAAGGTAATTTTCTGGTGATTTATGGAAAGCCCCGAGGTAGTTGTTGTACACGACTTTTGCATTGTCATCTCATTCTGCGGTGTGCATCAGCGCCAGCCAGCGCGTGTCACGAGTGCGAAAATCAGTTGAAATTTCGTCACAGAGAATTGTCACGCGTTATTATACGCAATTCCAGGACGAGACTTTCGTCGTTTACCGCCACCCTGGCGGCCTCATTGTTATTTCATTTATTTTTTTTTCTTAGGCACCTGTAAGTGGCTCGGTTCAAAGCACTACCTCTCCACTTCTTGAAGGAGATGCAAGAAGGACACGAATGTGGAATGAGGGTGGGACGCATATAATCTGCTTTTCACCGTGCAAAACTCTCGGTGCATTCGTAACTCGCTGGCGCGTCTAATTAACACGGCCGCTGAGAACGTCCAAGCAAAATGCTGAGTATTTGTTTAAATTTATTTCATTAACTTTTATCACTCGAGCCCTTATCCCCATTTTTATTTGTCCACTCGCGCGCTAAATGACCCATGATAAAATAATAAAATGACAGTTAAGGCTTTTAACGATGTATTTTTCATCCTCATTGCGATTTTTTTTTTCCGAATCTCACTGTTATGGGTAACCTCGACTAAGAATCGTGACTCCGATTCACTTCTTTTGTTCCACCGTGACCGTGCATCACGCCTCACACGAGGGACACGTGTTTCGACGTCTTTCACTACCGCATCAAGAGCTCAAGAGTAAAATGCATCGAGGGACTTCACATTGGAATTTTAATGTCCGGTTTGTGTCGATTATCTTTCAACATTTTTTTTAGCCCCCTTACTGTCTCACTCCACCATGTCACCGAAAAACGGTCATTACGTATTCGAATGAGCGCGGCAGCGACTTCCGTAAGGTTACTAGGAATTTTTATCCACCCTTCGCCGATCATTACCGACAAAAGCCACTATATTTTTCGATGGCTATCAATTGTTTGCTATAAATATCGATGGGAAATACCTCATGCGCCCTGCAAGTCTCAGTTTGCGTTATGCACCTCAATATAACGTTTGATTGAAAAATATTGGTGTTTATATTACTTCGGTATATAGCCAACGAAATATTGGCCACAAAAATTGATATGCGAGTCAATCTACTGTGACATTTTATTCCCCAGGAAATAACCAACTGAATTTCATCGCAGTCCTTCACATGGGAAAGTTGAATTACGACAGAAGAATTCAGAGATATTCAATATGCCGTATGATGAATTACCATGTCCTCCGTTAAAATTTATTGATTCTTTCTCAATTCGTATCCGTTTACCTTTTATTCTTTCCTAGGGTACAGAATGTCCCACGACTGACTTGCATAGCAATATGTGCTCGGACCAATGCATATCACGAAATGTGTGTGAAGTGTTTTTATTCCCCTATAAAATCGCTTCCTACACGTATTTAACCACGAAAATTTCCCAATTTGACAATAAAAGTGACAATCACGTCGAAACCATACAAGTCCATAAAATTTTCAATGCTCCCACTGGAAACACAGGACATTTTTCCCACAGCGTTTCAATATCCCACTGAAATTGTTTCCATCTTTTTTTCCCCCAAACTTATTGACTGAGAGATTTTCTTACATTTCTTGTCGACGAAGCGTTGTACTTCCGGGAGTCACGTAGCAAAAGTGCAAAGCCACTTTTCCAAGTACAAGGTAGTTTAACGAGCTACTAATAGGGCTTGCACTTGTGTACCTTCGTCTCTGTCCCTAGATTGTCACGAGAGTGAGTGTGATGTTTGTTGCTCTTGAGGATTTCCGGTTACCGTTTGAAAATTCAAACAAACTTTGCAAAGTAACAGCCTCCGGCATCTCCTTATTTCGCCCACCTCAAAAAATTACCAAAGCCACAGACGTGCGTCGCGCAAGACAAATTGATCTCGATGAATTTCTCATCCACTTGTTGGTCGGTACCCATCATTCTTTTCCTACTGATTCTTTACCTTTTCTTTGGGTCTCTTTCACTCTTTCACTCGCTTCAGCCATTTGTTTTTTCTTTTTTTCGTCTCTGAATCACAGCGTGTCTCCGCACCTCCATACATCGCGCAACTTGGCATTCTGCGGGACGATAGATTTAGCCAATCTATTTATAGATCACACGGTAGTGTCCGAGGGGGTTACGCGTCAAGCGCGAGAAACCGAGGCTTCCACCATGGAAAGACCATTTAGTTTTCATGGCTTTTCCTTATCCTAAGAAAGTTCGTTGACGTTCCAGTTGAAAGATCCAGAAAAAATATTATTATTTTTATTTTCATTTTCATATTTTTTATATTTTCACAGAAAAATTATTTGTATCCTGCCTATCATAATATTTGACCAAATTATTCCTCAATGTTGATAATCAATATCCGATCATTGAATATTAATTGTTCTATTAATATTCATTTATGAAATTAATGACTAAATAATTACAAATTTGAAATTAATTGAATTCCACTTCACATATTCAGTAGATTTGTCATAATGGTTAATTTTTTAATTACGAAATGCCTTTAGATTTCGGTCGAACCGCTATTCGTTAAGAATTTCGAGAATTTCAACCGGAAAGTCACGCCAAGAATTTTGAACGGTTCTGTCTGTCAAATCACCTATACACACTTTTACTTCCAATGACAGAAAAATCATGAACCAAAATTCAACCACAGACTTCAACGGTATTTCCCTAATTTCTGCGTGAAGTGTATCTACCGAGGCATATGCTAATGAACTCCATTCACTAATAGATCCCCAACCAAAAATACTCTGACCCATTCGTTGATTGGACAGCTGATATCCCCCAATCATGCACAATCGTCCGCTCCCCTTTGTCATTTCCACAAAACAAAGCCAAAATCTACAAAGATAAAAATTTCATAAAATTTGCATGAAAATTCTGTAATTACAGTCAAAATCGTGAGGCATCAATTCCTATGGAAAATTCCCAATAAAATTTACGGAACGTCCAGTAAAAAGTATGAAGCTATTACCTACTTCGGACGGAGCGTTGGATACAGTTTTTTTTACTGAATGCTCCCTCATTTTTTTTGAAAATTTCCCGTAGAAATTGACGCCTCACGATTTTGACTCAGACTATACGGAACTTTCAGGTAATTTTTATGAATTTTCTCTCCACTCGTCCATGATAAAGAAAATCAGGCAATTGATTCATCAAGGATCTCAAAGATTCCCAACAGTTTAAATATCTGATACCTTGAACAATCAAAAGATTTCAGTCCCTCACTAGTCCGCCCCCTCATTAGAGAAAACTCAAAACGCAGTATAACTATAAAACCTCAACCGATCGTTACGAGGTTGACTGGCCGATGATTGCAGTACACCACATGTGCCCGGACAAACAAAAAGCGTGGAAAAGAGAAAAAAACCTAAGAAAACAGTCGCAAGAATCCTAGGAGAAGCCCCCGGAGAACTCACACAAAAACTGGCCCCACAACAGCCAAGAGCCCCGTCATTTTTATTTACCCACTCCTCACCCCTTTATTTACCCTTTTTCCTAAGAATGCCATTACCCATAGCTGGCACATCGTGAGTGCAGCAGTGACGTGAATGAACGCATCTAATCCCAGAGTATGTCCGGGTTGCGTTAGCAGCAATGCCAATAAGGCTGAAGAAATGAAAGAATAAAAATAAAAATAAAAAGCAAGTAGCCTCCATCGATCCAACAACTGCGGGACGCCAGAGGAATCCAGAAAAAAATCCATGCATAACTGCGAAAAAAAAAAGGAGGCGAGAAAAACCTCAGGGAAAAACGAGGAGACCGTATGGCACGCGTGCTACGAGGAACACCGGAAATTACCCGAGTCATGATTGCCCTGGTAATTGTTGGACCGCGAGCTCTCCATCGCCATCCTCGAGGGAGTGCACCCCACGATCAAGTTCATTCGCACTCATCCGGGGCTGTCATGCAGCTATCATGACTTGGAAAAGCCCTCGTATTATCCAAGGTGGTAATACCAAGGGTTATCATCAGTCTGGTGGGACAACTTTAGCCTCCGCTTGGGGACGATGCTGTATCTCCGGTATAAAACTCCTGAAATGAAACTACCGTACACCAACCGCTCGAATATACCAATTATGTGTTTATCCAGATTATCCTGGAGGAGCTGCGTTAAGACTGAAACGTGTAGCTATAATATACTCCATATGAGCGTGTTTGCGGAGGTTTTTCACATGTTCGTGAGTGTGGCTAGGCACTAACACAGGTGGAGATTAAACTACTGCTGGCTGACCTTGTTGGCACACCCTGGGGGAACACAGGTGCATGCTGAATCGGTTAACAGGTTTTTATTGGTGTTATTATGGAATTTTTTAGAGCGTCATTTCCAGGCGGTTGTGATTGTTTAGGTGTTCCATGGTGTTTGTCATCTGCACTCGATTCATTCTGGTGCTGATGGTGTTGGGACAAGTGCTGGAGGGACTGTTCTGGCTGTCGTTGTTGTAAGGCAACTCAGCATGATGACAGTGTCTTTGACCTGCCCTGGTTAAGGAAAAATTCAGGATATATTGGCGCAGGGGGATCATTACTTTCTAGCAGCTTATTATTGTTTATTATTGAGTGTTTACGCGCTATGTAAACATTGAAGATACTCTCTGTGGATTCATTGATTTACGATAGTGGTGCATCTTGTTATTTTTCAGTCGCACTTAATATCTCTGATTCTGTGATCTCCTTCAGTGAAAGGCTGCCTTTTGTTACCAGTTTTTACCGACTAACTTGCGCAGAGGTTTATAGTAATATGTAGGCGATCACTTTCAACATTTTTCAGGGGAAAATGATTTTTATTCTAAAGATGTTTTGCTATATGCGCTACCGCTCTCTTTGCCACATTCTAATGAGAAATTGGCAGGAAAATTCAAATTGTAACATGCAGTTTTAAAAACTGTTGAGATTTTACATGAAAACTTGGTTGCAAATTGATGAAGGTGTCAACGAAGTTCTTTAGAATAAAAATTATTCCTTCTCTAGACTCGACATTTTTTTGCAAAACTCGTTACACTTGTTTCTCTGCAGAGTGGCTGGAGGAAACTATTCTGATTAATTTTAAAGGTCGCCGAGTATTCCCAGAAGTATGTCTATTCCTTGGATCTCGGCTAATCACGCGGAGATAAAAAGGGCAATAAAATTGAAGAAGGCCACAGAATTACGGCACGTCTTATAATTTTTATTGAGCATGTTTTCCTTTAAATGAAAAAATATAATTTTTATTGGCATGCTGTATATTTGTTCAATTTGTTGATTAGTTAATATCAAACTTTTGTTATTATTTACTTTCAATTATAATTATTTTTTGAAGACTTGAATAATAATAAGGAAAATCCTTGAATTATAAAGGTATGGCTCTACCGTTTCAGTGAATAAAATTATGCAAATCAATTACAATCTCGTATTTGCATTCAGCTGGAGTAATAAAAATTAATTGAAGACCAGATTCTCGGAGTGAGGATAATCCACTCGATAAAATAACTTCATCGAAATGAAAAAAAATTCTATTCGCTAGACGTACATTCGGTTGATCTCGAAAGCTGATGAAGATGAAGAAATGGATATGATAACATCAGAGCATAGCGGAGCAGTGCCAAGTAAATAGCCTGAAGATTTGTTGGGGATATATAATTTTATTCATCCAAGCGATGCTCATCAGCCGTCTGCCCACAAACTCCACAAGTCAGGAGCCATTTTCACCTGAGTTTCACCTGAAAGAGTCATCGTAGAGAAGTAATGCCCTCTTCCGCCTGTATACGAACCATATTTTTTTCTCCAGATAGAATAAAAGGAGAGGACAGCCGGCATTTAACGAGCCGATCCCCTCGACCTGCTGCAATATTCCGAGAAAACTTACACGTAATGCTGCTATTAAGTAAATTAAACCACTTAGATGTGACGAAGGAACATTCCGCGATGCACGCTGCACTGATCTTCTCGGAGTAACATCTACTGGAATTATGAGTAACTGTAGCTACCCTGCCATTTTCCTCGTGTCAATGTTACGGCTATTCCTCCGGATTAATTCCACCTGACACTGTCATTAACACGCAGAGTATTCATAGGCTCAACTCCTTTTTCTTCACAATTTTTACGGTTTTGCGGAGAAGCACGACGTTATTTAATATGACGGAAGATCTCTCCAGTCAACTTGACTGTGGTTTTTAAAGAAATCGCTGTTAACAGACCTTTGACGCTAACCGCCGGAAAAATACTCTCCATTTTATCCAACGATCTACGAAATGTCGTGGAGCACCAGAGAAATATTGTCTTGGGAAATAGCCACGTGGCATTTCTGCCCTGCAATTCATCACTTAATTCAATATCATTAACGATGCGGTTTTTCGGTGGTAATTTCCCCGACATTTCCGAAATCTCTTTGTATAAAAGGAAGTTGGAGATGATGCTGCGATGTCATACGCAGATGGATCATGCTGCTGTTAGAATGGGTGAGTAGATGCAGACGCCGAGATAATATTCGGGTATCGAGTTTTCATTATTTGTTTTTTTTTACCGATTTCTGTTGACAGCTGCGATTGTTGATATTGATCAGCGGCTCAGTCTCAGCGTTGAAGCGTGTTACGAGACAAGCGGGTTACACATATGATAGGCCATCGGTACCGTTTACCTTACCCACACCGGCTCCACCGCCACCCCCGAGTTGCTGTCAACCGGGACAAACGCCAGCAACTAGCAATTGCTATGTTTGTGAGACACCAGCACCACCCCCTGTAACTTATAATTATCCTCCTCCACCACCACCTCCGCCTCCTCCTCCTCCTCCTCCTCCACCGCCACCACCACCTCCTCCACCGCCGCCTCCGCCAC